GGGGGATGACCAAAACTTGTTCATCATGTTAAAGCTGGTAGTTGGCAGAACTAGGACTAAAAATCAGACCTAATGAGTATAAGAGCCATGATTCTTTTATAATATCAGTTAAAGTTCTTTTAAATGACAACAGATTCTATCCCATAACTGACAAAGAAATGTGGAAAGTTTGACCATTGCCTTAAGGTTTACAAATCAGTGACCAAAATCAAAATGTCAAAATATATCACTCTACTCATGGCCTGGACCTAAAGAAAAATAAAATACATTGTTAGTAAATACGTAACGAAGTATAATATTTCCCGCAGAGACAGTCAGACTGCCTATGAGAAACACCAGTTTCACCTCTAAGTCAAATGTACCCATGTCAAAAACTCCACTTAATACCTTGTAAGGCCACACATAGATGCCTCTTCCTGTAAAGTGGGAGACCAAGCGATATAGGTAGGTGGGTGGGATCAGAAATCAGAATGGATGGTTTTGAATCCTGGCTTTGAAAATCACGGGCTATGTCACCACGGAGGTTTATTTACTGACTCATGCCATGGACCTCTTAATTGGAAAATGAGACTAAAAATAATTTCTGCCCCATAATGTTAGCAAAGTGACACACAAGTACTTTCATCATTTTTACACATTTTAATTTACATTTCCTTTTCATTTACATAACTATCACAGACATAACAGTAACTCAAGAACACTAAAAACCAAAAATTTTCCTTTTCACTTATGAAGATACAGTAAATATTTTCCAATTATTAAGTGTTAAATGATTAAAAAACATTAAAACAATTATCGGGTACTACAACCTTAATGGCCATTAGAATAGGACAAGACTCCAGAGTTTCAAAGGTTAAATTCTAGGTTAATAGCATTAATTCAGTTGTCCTACGACAAATAGCTTTCAGGACATTAGTAACTAGTTGGGATTTTTTTCCTTTTTATTTAAAATAGTAAGTTATTCTGCTGGAATAATAGTGTAAAGTAATTGAAAAGCCTTAAACAAATAATTTTATCTAACTCTCCAATTAAGAGGTCATGCCGTTTATCAGAATTACAATTAAATAGAATTTACTGAATTATTCAAATGAATAAAGTCTAGTTAAGGAAATGTGAGGAACTCAGAAAAAAGTTACTCTTTCCAAGTATTGAAAAGAGATATTTAAAAATTGTAAAACAATTCTTTTCTTATAAATTCTTCTTGTAAATTTTCTCATTGAATCCATGAGCAGGAGTACCATGCAAAACAAAGAGGTAAGTAAGTATGCAAAGCAAAATTTCAAACAGCTGGTGCCTGACAAACATTTCTTTTAAGAGTGCTGTCTCACCTGCAGCTGCATCGCTCATCTCATTTGCAAACCAAGGATGGATCTACAAGAATAAAATAACGACTGCATTGATTCCTCTGAGGGTTAATTCTTTTTCTACGACACTAGCTTCTCCAAAGTGTGAATCTCTAGAATCAGCACAACCAATATCCAGTTACATTCTACTTCAAAATGAAATAAAACTGGTTCCACTCTAAATTGAACATATATTTAAATTTTTTTGTAAAAAAAAAAAAGAAGAACAGCACAGGGTAGTCCAAGGGGAAGCATCTGGAAAGCTAAGTAACGTTTGTGCAAAGATGATGAGCAGTAATGAGGAAGCTGGAAAGTCAACCAGGACTTGCTTGGGCAAGACCCTGTTCTTACTCTCTTCGTAAAGCACAGATAGCAGGAACCTAGTTCCCAGGAGTTCACTGTGAGTCTGTAAATTCCATAAGGGCCATTTGTCTTTGATTTTTCAGTGCCTATGCTGCCATCTAACATGGCAGAAAGGCAGCAGTACACAGTAGCTGGGATCAGGAACTGTGGAGCTCAACGACTTAATAGTTATGTGACCTCAGGTAAGTGACTTCATAGCTCACCTTAGTTTTAGTTTCTTCATCTGTAAAATGGCAGAAATAATAGTACCTGTATCATAGAGTTCTTAAGAGGATTAGAAAAGTTAATATTATAAGCAGTGGCCCCCAACCTTTTTGGCATCAGGGACCAGTTTTGTGGAAGACAGTTATTCCACGGACTGGGTTTTGGGTCGGGGGAGATGGTTTCAGGGTGATTCAAGCACATTACATGCAAGCGCACCTCCTGTTGTGAAACCAGATTCCTAACAGGCTCAGTTTTGGTACTCGTCTGTGGCCTGGAAGTTGGGGGCACCTCTAAAGTAGTTAGAACAACACTTGGCACATAGTGAATTTCCAAAGCACTCAGCAAACTATCATTACATTAAATTGACGGATTTATTAACACAAAGCAAAGCCTTGATTTTGGGATTGGCGTCATTGCTTACCTCTTGTGCTTCTCTATCCCTGTTGTGGTTTTTTGTCTTCCCTGCATGAGCGCCTTACTCCCTCATGTTAATTAATTTTCTACAATACAAGTTTTTAATGACTAGAATTATGAATTGCTTAATTTTTAGTGTGTTGGCTTTTTAATGGTAGATAACAACGGTTCCCTAACCTGACAGCGCATCAGACATACGGGTAAGTCTTTTAAAAACAGATTACTCATACCTAGCTTAAGAAACCCTTGAAGGTAAGACCTAGGCATCACGTACAAAGAGTTTCCATGGGATTCTGATCCAAGTGGTGGCACTAACTGATATTTGGGGGACCTCAACTAAAGATTTAAAAGACTTCACAAAGTACTGCATTTCTAACATAGGGGCTTGGGGTGCTGTGATTAGTCTGTTAGTTGTGGAGGTATTTTTTATTTTTATTTTTTTGTAGTATGGGACCCTCTTTGACCCTTCAAATTGCACCACATCTTCAAGAGTTGCCTGGAATCCCAATGGCTTTGCAGAAGACTTCTGTAAACCTCCCAAGTATAAGACTATTGTTGCTGGTACCATTTTCAAGAGCCATGGCAAATATTTATTCTTCCATTTTTCCTCTTTGATATTCTTGCAGATGCTTCTCTTCTGAGGAACCAAACTTTGTAAATGCTTAAGTTTCTTTTGCTTTTCTTTCTATATTCTTCAATTCTCCCTTGGGTCTAGGTTCATGTTCCATCAGTTATTTAAATTACATGATATACGCACCCGTGTGTTCATTGCAGCACTATTTACAAGCAGCCCAAGTGCCTGTCAGTAGATGAGTGGATTAAAAAGCTATGGTACATTTACACGATGGAATACTATTCTGCCATAAAAAAGAAGGAAATTTTACCTATTGTGATAACATGAATGGACCTAAGGGATTTTATGCTAAATGAAATAAGCCAGTCAAAGACAAATACCATATGATTTTACTTACATGTTGAATCTAATGAACGAAATAAACAAACAAACAAAATAGAAACAGACATAGATACAGAGAATAGATTGACAGTTGTCAGAGGGGTAGGGAGTTGGGGGGGCTGGGTGGAAAAGGTGAAGGGATTAACCAAAAAACCCTCATAGATACAGAGATTAGTCTAATGAAGGAAAGGGGATGGGAATAAGCTGAAGGGGTAAAGGAGGGGATAAATGGTGATGGAGAAGGACTGGGCTTGAAACCTACATAATTTTATTAACCAATGTAACCCCAATAAATTCAAAATATTTTTAAAAAATAAATAAGTTTACATCAATTATCAAAATAAATAAATTTAAATAAAGTGTGTATAACATGCTCAACCTTAACCTTTTCTTCTGCATCTTTTTCTAGTTATGCCGTGTGATTCTCACATGCAACATAAAAGTCAAATTTACAAAATGCTTTGGAATCCCTGAGCGATAGGAGACTCTCTTTCTTGGCCACTTGAGTTCATTAAGCATTAATGAACTCAATGGAGAATGTGATAAGGTCTGAGAAAGTTGTGACTGTGGTCTGGGGATTGGTACTGTGATGATGACCGGGGCTGTTAGTCCATCATCTCATTGTGACCTTCCGGCTGTGGAACTGTAATGAAGCAGCTTCAAAGGAGTGGTGTATTAGTGTTCAGCTAAGAGAGAGCATCAAGTTGTACCAGATTTTCAAAGCCCTGATAAAAAGAATGAAATGGAGGACTAATGATGTGGAAAAAAATCAAATGATAGATATGACTATAAAGGGAGAATGTAGGGTCTACATTTAATATACAGAACAATATTTAGCTTAGGTATAAAAGTATCATAGATCAACATTCACAAATAACTCAAATAAATGTAGTGTTTCATTTCTTTCCCCCAAAACTGCATAAAACTAGAAAAATAAACATTGACTAGTAATGTGAAATAGGAGACATTTTGCAAAGAACTCTATGGGAACAGGAAAATTTTTTCTTTTCTCCTCTTTCTTTCTTTTTTGGTCAAAAGTATTAGAAAAGAAAACCAATGTTTAAGAACCCAACTTCATGCCCTGGCCTGAATGTAGCTCAGTGGATTGAGTGCCACTCTACAAATCAAAGGGCTGCTGGTTCAATTCCCTGTTAGGGCACATGTCTGGGTTGCAGGCCAGGTACTGAATACGGGGCACATGAGAGGCAACCACACATTGATGTTTCTCTCCCTCTCTTTCCCTCTCCCTCTCCCTCCCTCTAAAAATAAATAAATAAAGTCTTTTTTAAAAAGAACCCAATTTCACTTAATTATTTCTTTTTTTTCTTTTCTTTTCTTTTTTTTTTACTTTTGCAAGTTGTTTTATTTACAATGCCAACTTTTAAAAGGTCACTAAACTGAAGTTAACTGGACAACAAACTAGGCAGAAATTGCTTTACAAAAAGAGAGAAAGCCCAAAATGCCACTTACCACAGAGGACCCACAATTCAGTTTTATTCAGAGCAAAGAGAAAAGAAACTTTTTGATCATACTGGAAGAAACTCAGCCATAGGTTTGGAGTCTGTACCCAAACTACACATGCAATGAGGACAATACTCTGCTAATACAGTTGATGTGCTGCTGCATTTGTCTACTGTTTGTCTAATATTAACAATTATAAACAGAGCAGTGCAACTAGTATTTGGGACAATCCTACAGTGTTACAGTGTCAGGCACAACATTTCACTTTTCTTCGCACCACTGGTTCTCTTTGCATGCCTGGGCGTCCTCTTCTTCGGTAAAGTCATTTTTGATGTTGAAGGTCTTGCGAATCTCTTCAGGAGTTTTCCCCTTGATCATATTGGCAACAGTCTAGCATGTAACATCAAGCAAACCTTTGATATCTAAATAGTTTGCAGCCAGAATAAGTTCAAAAAGTGTTCCTTGGTCAACTTTCAGGAATTCTTGGTCCCATACAGGGATATCATCAGTTTGTTTTTCTTTGTTCTCGTCATCCTCTGGAGGAGGAGGGTCATCCTTGTGGTGGGTGCACCACTGAGTGACCTTTTTTAATATTGCTGCATTAACATTTGGTAGAGGAACTGGGTCATCATCACCTTCATCATCTATTCCCAAATCTTCTAACATGGTCTTGATAGTCACAGATTGTTTGGCAATTTCAACATCAACTTCAAATATCTCTCCATCAGAACTCTGCAACTTAATTGAAGGCATGGTGCTCAGCAGAGAGCGGGCCGGAGGCTGATGAGAGCGGGTCACCATCAGCAGAGACTACAAGGAAAGGCGGAGAACAAGGTCCCTCTCACTTAATTATTTCTCATTTCAGTAATATATAATACATTTTTTTAAATATTAGGAATTTTTTTTTATAAAAGTCACATATACTTACTCTCATTTACCATCACATTTTATCACTATTTGAAGATTTCATCTGAGTAGAATACATTTATTTTAATATTATATCTAGTAAGTTGAAAACACAAATAATAGTCCTAAAAATCAAAGGTTAGTGATAACATGACAGTAATAGTTTGATTCTGCACCACTGTTTCAGTTGCTTGTCCCCGACAATGTTTTATTCTTTTACAAAAATGACTAATTTTAGATAACAAATTCCCAATTGTGTATTCTTAAATTAATATCTTGTTTGAAAGGACTGTATTCACTTTATTTCATTACTGGAATAATTCACTGTGTGTAGATCAACATCCCTAAACAAGTAATATTGGTTAAGAATACTTTTCATAATAGAGATGTTATGAGAAAAAGTTCCCTTAAAATGTGTTTTTCTTTTAAATTAGGATTTACCTTTTTTGTGAAACCAGTATGAGTCGTGTCCATATCGGCCAGGAAAGCCCAGTCTTTGTTCTTTAGGAGAGAATATCATTAGTCCTGTTTCATAGTATAAATAAGTAATCCCACAGTCAGCAATTTTTTGGCATGAAAAGGAGAAGATGTTGAGAAATACACACTGATTTTTGATGTGAGTTGATGTTTCTGAAAGACTTGAATTGACAGAAAATACCCTTAAAGGGGGTGATCACTAAGGAAAGATGAATGACAGGTAGGGGATTGTCCCTGGAAGCCAGAGAGAAAGGGCACTGCAAGATGAGAACCTAGTACAGGAATGATGTTTTCCAGGAACAAACTGGAGACTGAGCAGAGAGTAGGATCAGGAAAGAAGAAATGGCCAGAGAAGGAGGAAAATCAAGAGAAGAAAGTGTTTCCATAAAGAGACATGGTCAAGTGTGCCAAGTGCTTGTAAGAAGTTTAGTAAGATAAGGACAGTCAAGTGACTTTTAAATATGACAGGACACAGGCTGTTGCTGGCCTACTATAGCACAGTTTTAGAAAAATAGGAGGGTAAAGGCCAATTGAAGTGGGCTGAGGAAAGAAAAAAAAATGGAGAGGAAATGTAGATAGCAACTTCAGTCAACATTTTTGAAAAGTTTTTCTCCAAAAGTGATGTGAGAAATATGGCAGAAGCTGAAGGAAGAAATCAAGAGTACATCTTTATTCTAGTGGGAGTAATTAAGTTCAGAGAGATAAACTGAGAAAAGAAAAGGAGAAATATTTCAGAGAGAGAGTCCTGGGGTAGGAAAAGCATGGTCTTTTCGGCATGCACCTAAGTCCTGGTTTGGGTGAAAGAAAGCATGAGGCATCTCCTGCAGTGGAAGCCCTGAGAAAAAGCATGCACAGAGGGTTCTCTGCATCTTGGAGGAGTTAGACAGGCTGTGACATAGTCTTATATTGGAACATGAGAAATGAGCATATATTAGAGTATGAAGATAACCAGGCAGTGTTGAATAACTCAAGGAGGATTTGTGGTCAGGAATTTAAACTGGAATTAGTCAGCAGAAATATATACTTTTCTCCAGACTTGTTCAGCTGCCAATGTGAAATAAGAGAAGGGCTAACAAGAGTTAGAGTTTTTTTGAAGGAAAATAAAATGGAGGTCAAAATGGCAAGTACATAGATACAATGATATAAAAATATCAGCTAAATAAAGAATAAGGGGAAAAATGAGAGAGTTCATGAAAAAAGAAGAGTAAAGATTGATAATTCAGAGAACTTGGTATGATCAATGGACAGCTGGAGTGGGAATGAGAGAGAATGATGGGCAGGAAGGTTGAAGAACTGGACATAGAAAATTGGAGGAGCAATACAGTTGTCAGTAATAACAAAGTCAAAGGTATATCTGTGACTAGGTAGCTATTGTAATACAAGGAAAAAGAACTCTGGAGGTGAAGAAGATCAAGGAACTGTGAGGCTATGTGAGGGATGAGGGTTTTTTCATTTTTTTTTTTTTACAAGGATATTGAAGTTACCAAGAAAAATGACAAGCATTAAAGTAGAGAAGATGAGAGAGATTCACACATTGAAATCTTCTTTGGAGTAAAGAGACCAGGAGGATAGAAGATGCCAGCTACAAGAAAAGTGGTACTGTCCTACACAACCTGCAAAGATTTCAAAGATTCAAGAAGATATTAGACAGAATTACAAGAGAACAGAGACACCAACCTCACTATAAAAACAAATCAAAACCCACTGGTTATCTGTATTATGACCAAGTTATTTTCTTTACATCTAAATATATCGTATCATGTGGACAGAACAGTATCTGGTCCATCAATGGTCATAGCTAGAAAGGGGTAGGATCATGGGAGTTAACCTTCCTGTTTCATTTTTATTCTATTACATAAGTACATTTAACTTCATCCACTCACAGGGGTGCCCTAGAGAATAATTAGCTATTATACATATTTAAAATTATAATAGATCTCACTTCATTATTTATTTTAAAATTTGTGTTGCATGAAATAAACTTTGACATCTTAGGGTATTACATGGAGGTGGATGGAGAATTGTGATATAGTGACTAGAAAATACAAAACTAGGGAGAGACTATAATCTCAAGGATAATAAGATTGCGTGCTTATACTTTCCTTGACCCTCTAAAACTGCAAACAACAACTTTACACTAAAGAACAAACCTTCCTACTGGCTCCGTGAAAGCTAATAGTGCAAAGTAATCAGAATATCTGGGGTACAATTTACAGGAACAATTTATAATCTGAACCTTTTTTCTAGTTCCTTTGACAAATGTATTGGCCTGTTGACGCCCTGTGATAGATGTATTTCTATCCATCTTTTTTTTTTTTAAAGTAATGTTTCTCACAAGGGGGATAACCAGACAACATATGATACAACACAACTATTTGTTTCTTCATTTCCCATTCATTATTACTTGAGTTACAAATGACATATGATCCAAACCAGTAACATATGTCTGTGCCTGACAGAGGACATTTTTTATCTTCCGAGTTTGGGTTACATTTTCAGCAGCAGGTGTTGTGAATCTAAATGAAGTAAAACAAGCTTCTAAATTCAATTCTCAGGTCAACATACTTCAGAGTGTTTCATGGGACCAGAAATAAAAGGAGCAGTTTTGCCTTTCTGCTTTTCAAAATTTCTCTAAAGCATGGATGTTTTTAGCTTTTATTAATTTTTTATTGTGTTTTATTTTCCCATTGCCATATGTCCCCCTTATACTCCCCTTCCCTCCACAATCACCACTGTTGTCCATGTCGATGAGTCTTTTTTCTTTTTGCTTGGTCCCGCCGCCCCCTCACCACCCACCCCACAGATGTCAGCCTGCTCTCCATGAGTCTGTCTCTATTTTGCTTGTTACTTCAGTTTGTTCATTAGATTTCACATATGAGTGAAGTTATATGGTATTTGTCTTTCTCAGACAGTCTTATTTCATTCACCATCATGTTCTCCAGGTCCACCTATGCTGCTGCAAAGAGTAAAATTTTCTTTTTTATGGCCAAATAGTACTCCATCGTGCATATGTTCCATAGTTGTTTTATCCACTCATCTATTGATGGACACTTGGGTTGCTTCCATATCCTGGTGATTGTAAATATTGCTGCAATTGACATAAGGGTGCTTACAATCTTTCAAATTAATGTTTGGGGTTCCTTCAGATATTTCCCCAGGAGTGTGATCAATGGGTCAAAGGCAGATATATTTTTTAATTTTTTGAGGTATCTCTGTACTACTTTCCACAGCGGCTGCACCAGTCTGCAGTCCCACCAACAGTGCAAAAGTGTTCTCTTTTCTCCACATCCTTGCCAGCACTTTTTTGTTGATTTATTGTTGATAACCATTGTGACCAATGTGAACATTTTTATATGTCAATAATGAACTATCAGAAAGGGAAATTAAGAAAACAGTCATCTAATTTACAATTGCTTCAAAAAGAATAAAATATATGGGAATAAATCTAACTAAAGATGTAAAGGACCTGTACTTGGAAAATTATAAGACACCAAAGAAAGAAAGTGAAAAGATACAAATGAGTGGAAGAACATGTTCTGTTCATGGATAAGAAGAATTAACATCACTAAAATGCTATACTACCCAAAGCAATCTATAGATTCAATGAGATTCCTATAAACATACCAATGATGGATTTCACAGAACTAGAACCAATATTTCAAAAATGTATATGGAACCACAAAAGGCCCCAAATAACAACAATCTTGAGATAGATTACTTTTAGACTCTAAAAGCTTGGCTAAATCATTTTCATGTAGTGCTTCTTCTTTTAAGCACAGGCTGGTTACCTGACCCAACTTTCCTGTCCTCTGCCTCATCCCTTTTTTCTGCACGCCTTTAATCCTGTTGAAACACAAAAGTGTGGGATTAAGTCTTGTACACCAAATGAATGTTCATACCCGCACACCTTTCCTGGTTCTTGGAATGCCCTTAGCTTCTTCATCCACTGGGAACAATTCAGCATACCCTTTGGGATTCAGGTAAATCATCACCTTCTTTAGGAAGTCTTTCCAGTCCACCTTATTCACCTCACTCACAGTCAGTCATTCCCTCTCCTTTCTTTCTATGTGTATTTAAACACGCATCAGTTATTGTTAGCATGGCCAAAAAGTATATCGTACAAACCAGGGCACTTCTGCATTGTTAATAATTACATTGGGACATGAGACACAAACTATGACTGTCCTGGGTAACTAGGATATGTGATCACTTACGGCTTTGCATTGTGGAACTATCCATTTCTTGCAATCATACTGTGAGAGCAAACCTGTTTTATACCTGTGCAACAGCCAATGGTATTTAAATAATTAGTGGATATCTACGGCTTTACTAATACATTTCTTCTACTAAAACTATCATTAGAGAATCACCTTACTCCACAGTTTGTGTGCTTCCAATACACACCTATGTCATTTGTATGACACTGAACTCATCCCCCTTTGTTCCCTGTG